TGGTGAATAGCTAAAAGGAAAGTAGCATTTTAAAGTTTTAGAACAAGGTAGCATAGAGTTTTGAGTTGGAGCATTTAATTTGGGGGAAGAACAATGTGATTAAAGTTATCTCTGACCGGCATGAATGAAGACTTTATAACATAGGAACACGAGATGCAAGGGCAATTAATTCTTGTATGATGTAGACAAGGAAATATTAACAAATAAATATGCAGGCACTGAGTGAATTGGAAAAAAGTACTTTTGATTTTGCACTTGTATGTATTACCAGTAAAACTTGTTGCAAATTACAGTTTCTAGTACAGAGCTACCTAAAGGTTCCTTATTGCTGCTGGCAGTAGCAACTCCAGCCAACATGCTATCATACGAGGGTGCATTTCGCTGCTAGGGTGCTATTCTCTTTTTGCAATAGAGAGCCTCTATTTGCAAAACTACATTTTGGGAAGGACAGCAATGTTGATTGATTGTGGTGAAAAAGAGAAGTTGACAAATATAGTTGTACTTTCCTAAAGAAAAACCAGTGACTTGAAGAGGTACAAAAATATTTGTACTTTCACATCATAAAGAAAACATAGGTGTTGTGGTTTGGTTTTTTTAACAGATAAAAACTGTGACGAATAGCAATCTGGTCTCGTTGATAAAGTGTATATAATATTCCCATCTGTATAAGTGTAGTAATGCAATTATGTCAAGAATCTCCACAAAGTCTTGCAATCTGTGTCATGCAGAAGGCATGATACTGCATTTGTTGGTATTGCAGTAGCTTCTAAAAGTCTGGGATGGAGCCTCAGTTTCTAATGTGATATGTACTCTATAAACACATAACAAAAGCATTGTTCCAAAATTTTTGTTGCATATAGTTTTAAGATATTTTTTTTCCAGGTATCCTAAAAAGAGCTTCTAGTTTTATTTTTGTGGTTATAACTTTCACTTTGCCTAATATTCATACTGATTATGGTATAAATTTCCTTTGCAGTTTACGTGTGAACTTGGACATGGGTAAGGCAGCCTATGGGTGGATGATTATGAAAGATGACAATATTCCTGGAACAGTTGTTCGAACTAGCACCATACCAGAAGAGTTGGGACGATTAGTTTATTTACTAACGGATAAAACAGGTATATCAGGTTTCAATTCTGAAATATGATTACTTTTATAAAATTTTTAAACTTTATTCTGTATTTGAATATGTTAATGTAAGAGTAGATTTAGACTACTGATTTTTATTTTTCAATAAAATTTTAAGGATGTGCCTGAGGACTTTGCACCTGTACCAATAGGCTTAGGTAGGCCAGTACTCCCATGTGAGAGTCAGTATTTGGTAATAATCTGATATATTCTGGTGAGAACACTCTTGCTATAATAACAGGACACTGGATAGCTTTAGTAGGAGTACCATATATCTTACTCTGAATAGCACTCAGGATACTATTTTATTCTGCACCTCATTTCTACTGCAATATTGTATGATAGTTAAGAATGGCCTTCAAGAGAGCAAGTCATTTCTAAAACAAATCATAAGATCAGCCTCCAAAATTACATCAGTTATCCCCGTGAAGTTGGTTGCTCTTTATGTTACAAAGACCAGTGTAGAGCTGCTGTATGATTTCATCTTCATAACGGTAACCTGTTACTGTACCTGACCTGGTATACTGGAAAACCCAACCCTTACCAGGATCAGAAGGTAGGTGAGCGTGTGAAGAAGCAATAGGTTGCACTATGCTGCTGTCTGCCACTATGACTGAAACTTATTACAGTCTTACCATGCTCTTAGTTCTAGATATATTTAAGGAATCTTAAGAGTTTATTTTGGAAAATATCATAATAAATAACAAGCTAAATTCTATAGCAAATACAATATTTCTTCTCCTTTCTTGGTTCTTTCTGAGATAGAGTAAGTCAGTTCTGGTAGAGGTACTGTTTTTTTAAGAAGCTGAACTTTTGAACTGAGAAAGCAGTTTCTTAAATAGCTGAAGAAATTTTTTAGTGGTTTTAAGTAAAGCATAGTTCAAAATGGTGAGAAAGCATTTGAGGGGGGGCAGGGGTTGGTCTCTGTTACACTGTTCAGAAAGCATAATACACAGTTCACATCTCTTTTTGCTTGAAATAGTTCCGTGTTCCCTCCCATGCTGAACACTTCCATTACTGCGTGTTCTGAAATGAAATGTAAATTTAGTAATTGTCACATTTTCAAAATACACTTTCATTTTTGTCTATAGATATATATATGTTACCCTATACACTTCTGAATGCTGTTCTATTTCATAAAAGATAAGGACAACTGCCACCTTTCTTAGCATGTAGAAAAGTGTATTTCTAATTATAGTGTGGTAATTCTTCAAAGCAAGTGAACAATTCTTCTTTTAACAAGTTTTATTTCAGTTAGCTAATGATTTGTATGCTATTTGAAACTGCTTATTGATTTTAATTGCACCCTTCATCATGATAATTTATGTAACTTTGAGTGCTGTCTCATTGAAGGCTAGAAATATGTAATTT